ACCACGATGATATGAACCGCTATGAGCCGATTGTGACCATGCCGCGGTTACTGAACCGTGGCACGATAGTATGGCTATATCAATTATAATTTTCCATTCCTAAAATTTACCAAAAATAATTGAATACGAATTTAGTTATGTTAATGTATTTTCCATAATTATTTGGCATTCTTAACAAAAATAATTAACCTTATAATTACAATTACCCAACCAAATGTAGAAATGTTGCCAATTATAGTCATTGCATATCATCTATATTTAGCAATAAATTCCATCAACTCCCTCTTTATATATATATTGATATTGATATATATATATATATATATATATATATGTATATATATATATATTAATTAGGATTACATTGAGTGATTATCTATATCATGTAGAAAGTTTGATAATTTAATTTTAAAAATAATTTCTTACTTAAAAGAGGAAATTTTTCGAAAGTAATTCTTTTATGGCAAATTGCATACTTAAAAGAAAAAAAATTTATGGCAGTTTGCCGTAAAAGATTTTTTTTTTTCAAAAAAAATTCCTCTTTTGAGTAATAAATTTTTTCAAAAATTAAATTATCAAACTTCTTATTATTCCATTGCAATTTGCCATAAATGAATTATATTCTAAAAATTTCCTATTTAAGCAATAAATTATTTCTAACATGAATTTATCAAACTTCTTATTATTCCATTGCAATTTGCCATAAATGAATTATATTCGAAAAATTTCCTATTTAAGCAATAAATTATTTCTAACATGAATTTTTCAAACTTCCTACATGACATACATAATCACCCAATGTATAATCTCTAATTAAGTATTCAAATACCAAGAAATATTCAAAATAAAGTGACAATAATTATCCAACAATCCACTAAATGAGGGTGCTATTATATATACATGACTTCTACCCTACAAAGACCATCAACACAACCAATTCAAATCATCACTTCCCTATAGTAAAAAAAATGTCTTCTTCAATTTTCATATCATCAATATTCTCCCTCTTGTTTCTAATGTCGAATCTCATGGTCGATACTTCTGCCGAATCCTTGATCGAAACAGCTTGCTCCAACGACCGTCTGTATCCCGAGAGGACTAAAGCATGCATCAAAGTCCTTCGATCCCATCCCGAAATCGCGTCCGCTAAGAATTTGTACGACCTGTCGATTGCAATTATGAAGACGGGACTGTCGAGCTTTACAAGCGCGCAAGCTTACATCAAGCGCCAATTGAAAAGGGCGAATGTGGGCCTAGACGTGAAGGGCGCCCTAATAGCGTGCAATAACTCTTACTATAGTGGCTATATATCGTTCAACAGCGCGCTGTCAGAGGTACGAGACGACAAAGAGTACGAAACGGCCACTTACGATCTTCTCGTCGGCTGCACAGATGACATCCAATCGTGCGAGGACAATGTGGCCTTGGGGAAAATCGAGGACCCGATTATTTCGAGAACTAATGACCTTGCTAGTATATATGGGCTGTCCGCTTATGAGGCTGTTAATGAGCTTGAGCAAGGAAAAGATGTTTAGGAATATATTATACTCATGTGATTCGCATTCTATTTACAAATGCATTTAAATGATAATTTTGAGTTGAGATTAGTTTAGTTAATTTCACATATAATCTAATGCACGAGCCACAGGCTTTGGTTCAAATATTACATTTTTTTTTTTTTTTTTTGGTACGCAAAAATTACATATTTTTATCTACAAATCTTTTTATGTCTGCATATTTACGATTTTTTTGGTTATAAATATACTAACTTTTACTATTATAAATAATTGATTTATGATTTATTTGTATCATTAATTTCTAAGTTGCACTTTTTATGACCATTGATAAAGAATTTATGTATAATTTTATTTTGAAACGTCATATTTTTTTAAATATTTTTTAAAAAGTGCTACAAATATGTCAAAGACGTGAGATATGTTTTCCAATTTTCAAATTAAAATTATCCTGCAAATCCGATGCCGAATTCAGAACTCATATCTTTCACAGATCTATATCTTTATACAAGTACATTGCGATGGTAAATTAATATTAAAAGTAATTGTATACATTAGATGTTAGGTTATATTAATAAATTTTATCATTAATACATTTAACTTCGTGAAAATACCTCTAATATAGTTTTGGTTAAAATATCATTAATATCATATGGTATTTGATGCATCACCATGATTATAAAATACATTCTTTTTTTCTTTTTGTATCATCCTTTTCATTTTCACTTATATACATATAAACACCAATCACATCAAACCAGGAAGAGTTGTCCATGTGTAGTTTTCGACCAGCATAAAGAGTGTAGTTACAAAACAACTTCTTATTGGGACAAACATGACTACTGACACTAGTATTAATGTACCACTCCCTTAGGTTATCCACCATGTTAGCTTCAAACACCACCACCGACATATCAAAGTCGGTCAGTTCACCCGGCACAGGGTCGTGTTCAACATTTAGGGCACTCGATTGTACCCTCTTCGGCCCAACCTTCTTTGGCTTCTTGTATGTCATTTGTTGGCTTCTTGTGTCTTTCGCCATGTGGTTTGGTTTTCCACAATTGTGGCAGTTGTCGGTAAACATCTAAATTTTGGTGGGCTGCTTCCCATTTTTAAGGGGCTTCCTCTTGCTCGTGTTGCCTGAGACCAACAAGTTAGCACAAGCTTCTATCATCGAGGCTTTCTCGAAGATTTACAATTGTCCTCCTCAATGTAAAAGATGAACCACGAGGTCTTTAAGAGTCATATCCTTTCTTGTATGCTTGAGGTAGTTGTTGAAGTCTTTCTGACCCGGTGACAACTTCTCGACCACTACCGCAACATGGAAAGACTCACTCAGAGTCATTCCTTCAGCACGGATGTCGTGCAAGGTCAGTTGTAACTCTTGCACTTGAGACACGACTGTCTTTGAGTCGACTATCTAGAAGTCAATAAATTTAGCGATGAAGAATTTCTTTGCCCCTGCATCCTCAGTCTTGTACTTCTTCTCTAAGACCGCCCAAAACTCCTTGACAGATGCAACAGAGAGTTATAGACATTGTACTACTCGTTACCCAGTCCGTTCAGGATATAGTTCTGGCAAAGGTAATCAGGTTGCCACCAAGCATCGTATGCGGCAAGCAGCTCGATAAGTGTTGGTTTTATTTTCAGCTCCTTCATATACTTCATTAAACTCAAGGTGGTTTGGTAGAAGTGCATTTTCTGCTGCCACCTCTTGAAGTGAAGTCGTTGAAATTTCTCGGGCTTTTCAGCATTGGGGACGTGGGCAACAAGTACGAGATGATGATGAGGAACAACGGTGTTGATCGGCTGATGCTGTTGGATTTGTTGAGATTATGAACCTTCCCCGATAGATGCCATCAGTTCAGTATGTTATTTGTCTTGAGGCTGTTACAAACTCAGTATCAATTACACGGGAACCTAAGAATTGAAGTGTTAAGTTCATACAATATAAACTAATAAAGAGAATAAATTACAACTTTTTCCGCAAGACAAATATGCCCCGCATAGTGCTAACGAATCTGTGCATAATGTCCCTAGAGATACAACGACTATTGACTCAAAAGCTATAACACACCAAACTTTAGAGCTCTAGCGAACATGAAAAGAGTCGAAAACTGAGCAATGCATATAATCCGCAACTTCTACAATGTCCTATTTATAGTACTTTAGCCAAGTAGAGGATGAATTTTCATATTGTAACAACCCACTTATGATTGTTGTAACTGAGCAGCTTCTCAGGTGTTAACTCACCTTCATTCCACCTTATAACCACCAAAACATTCAGGTGGGCAGGCGAAAGGTCACACGTCCAAGTTCAATTGGAATGAATTCACACGGATTGGGTCAAAACCCGAGTCCAAACCAAACTCGGTTTGAATTTTATCTTAGGCTTTAGAATTACAAATAAATTTGAGCAAAAAGAGATTAAGTGGTTGGGCTCAAGTCCCAAGCCCAATACTAGCCCAAACCGTCCAAGGTTGCCCAAGTCCAACGCACGGTCTAATTACCAAGTACCAAGGCTCAGGCCCGTGCCTGAGCCGAGCCAAGCCGGCCAGTCGGCCGACTAGCTAGCCCGCGCGTGCACACGCTTGTATGGCCGAAGTCAACGCCAACACTTGGTGCATAGTTTTGTTGTTGTTGTGAGCTCTCCTACTCTCTTTATTATAATACATAGAGTTAATATCATTTAAAAGTCCAACGTGGAAATGACTTTTGACCTTTTGAATCCCACAACCATAGTTTTATGTGCACACTCATTACTAACTTTAATCATATATTTTTTACTCACCCGATAGGCAGGCAGCTCAAACATGGGCTGAAATCGATTTTGTGAAAATAAATATACTACGAATAGGAACGTAAAAATTTTTCTACACAACTTAATTCAACCGAGTTATTAGTTATCTAAAATTCAATCAAAATCGAGTCAAATCTAAATTTAATAACTGATTTTTCCAACGGAACATAAAACAATATATATGTGCATGTTGACTGAAATCCTTTTTTTGTCTTTTATCATCCAGTACTATCAATGTTATCAAACATGGGTAACTCTAATTTTAAAATTGGTCCTCTAATTTGGCCACTTTCCAAAAAACCACCCCGCTATTGGCCACTTTCATTCTTGGTCCTATAAATTGTCCATTTAATCAAATTTGGTCCTTTTCTAAACAAATTTGGTCTTATAATTTGACATTTTGGTCTTTTTGTAATCTCATTTTAATCCATATTCTGGATAAAAAGGACCAAATTTGATTAAAATGTCAAATTATAGGACCAAGTTTGAAAGTGGCCAATGGCGGGGTGATTTTTTGGAAAGTGACCAAATTATAGGACCAATTTTGAAATTATGCTCGATTGGATCAATGCTCGATCGACTGGATCAAGACCAGTTCGGTTGACTAAGCGTCCGACCATCTAGCCAGCTTGGTAAGATCAACACCGTCAAGTCTCAAGATAACGTGAAATTAAAAGTCATAATATCCTGGAAATCTAGTGACTATATTTAGCTATTCTGGTCAAGAATTAGACCCTCATATTTTCGTACAATATATTTAGGCGTTGTCTAATAAAAAATGGCAAATCATTCTTCAAATACGAAGCATCTTTTTCCATTGTTGGGTCGAGTAGTCATGCTTGTGTTATAGCAACAGAAGCCAAACACTATGGATATATTGGCTGTACGAGATTATGTTCAATGAACTTAAATTAAAAATAATTGATTAGGCCACTATTGCTAGGTGTGCGATTCGGATCGATAAACGGATAGCCGGGGCAAAATTCCAGATACGGTGACTGCCTACCAAAAAAAATAATAATAATTGATTAGGCCATAATCTACACAAATTGCGAATGACGGGTTGGATTAGGTAAAATCCTTCTAATTGACGTAATGAATTAGATAACATATATATACTATCATCATTCTATTCGAGGTTTTATTTTTATTTTTAAATAAATTATGAAATGATTTTTTTTTTTTTTTTTTTTTTT